GATAAGGCTTCACAAAGGTTCCGTGGTGATTTCTCAGGCATGCCTACTGCCCTGGTCATTTCTAGGACTCCCTTTCCTGGGCCCTGATGGATTTGGGGAGCCATATAGAATATATTGATGTCAATGATTGGATATGGCTCTCTTTATGTTTTAAAAATACTGCCTTGCCCGGCTGGCATGACCCAGTGGTTGATTGTAGACCTATGAACCAGGAAGTCATGGTTTGATTCCTGGTCAGGGCATACACCTGCGTTTCAAGCTCAATCCCCAGTAGGGGGCATGCAGGAGGCAGCCAGTCAGTAATTCTCTATCATCATTGATGTTTCTCTCTCTCCCTCTCCCTTCCTCTCTGAAATCAATAAAAATACATTAAAAAAATACTACCTAGTACTTATGATGTACTGTAACATGAATTCAACAATGTCATTCTGTAAACCAACCTCTTGGGCTTTGACATATTTATTTTATAAAATGTTTACATAAATCTATACACCTTTCAATATTTCTCTTGTTTCAACTTACTAAAGAGATTACTTTAAGGTTATTGAAAAATTCCCAGTATTGAAAATACTTCTGTCTATACCCTAGGTATACCAAATGATCTACATTTTTCATTATAAAAATAATTCATGTTAGTAATATCTTTTAAAGAGTAAAAGCAAACAGACAAGTAGAAAGTAGCAGTTATTAGTCTTTCTTTTTCACCACCCTCTTCCTGCTCAGAGGTTTCTTTCATAGCCTTCTACAATTGGGCAAGTGCATGTCAGCTGCCCTTTTTATAGTGCTTGGCATAGCTGCCCATACAGCAAGGGCCTGCATGACTGAATCAGCATATTCATTTCAGATTTCTTCCACATTCCTTTTACATGTACATATAATGACATCCATACAGCTTTAAAAGAAAGAGGGAAACAAATAAAAATCATAGTAGACTTAAAAGGCGACTAACCTTTTTCCACCTCATTCAGATTAGCAGCTGGCAGCGACAAAGACAGAAGAGACAAAAGACTATTTACATTGCGATACAACAGCAGAGCACAGGAAGCTAGTGTATTTATAACAGAAGGGCCCAGAGTGAGCGGGCGGGCGAGGAGAAGTGAGGCTTGGATTCCTTACCTACAGCCGGCCAAGCGCACAAACAGGGGGACAAGAGGCGATAGGCAAACGCCATCACAGGGAGCCAGGGATCTGTGTCTCAACCAGGTCACTTAACCAGCCTTACTTTTTAACACGTGCACGTCATGGTTAGTGTGTGGGCATGGGAGGTTAGGAAAACGAAGAGATAAGGGGACAACGTGGAAAGATTAAAATGGTCTCAATGTTTTCCACATCTTTACATGCCCAACAGGTGTGGAAACGTTCGTGTACAGAATTTTGGTAATCCCGTTAAGTGACATCCTGGGTTACAGTGTGATCAATTGTGTGCCATCTTTGCATGTGTTCCCATGAAAGTAGGGTTGATTAAGAAACATGGTCTTGACAGAGCAGATCCAGGGTCTGACTCTTGGGAAACATGCAAAAACACATTTTCCAAGTCAACACCTAAATTCATACCAGAGTTTAAGACAGGGCGCCAAGTTCTCAACATGGCAGGGGTGCCATGTTTATAATTTTCATTTTTGTAAGTTTTGAGCTTATGTGATTGCAGGGATTCCTTGAAAATGCACCTTCAAGAAATGCCTTGGTTTTAGAAAGGATACAACAATGATTTTAAAAAATAAAACAATAAAAAACAATTTCTCAAGCTAAAATTAAAACCCTAGAGTAAATTTTAAAATTATTTGCTTAGCAATTTCTGAGTCTGACTTGCTCTATTCTTGGTGTATTTTAATTTAAAATAATACTGAATCAAACTTTTCCAAAATTAATTATGCTCACTCTTTAGAGTAGTGGTTTCAATTTAGAATCACATGGGATTAAACTTTTCAAGAATTAACCTGTCTGAAGAATTAGCCATCAACAACCATCTATTATAAACTGGAACAGATAATGGACTGAATTAAGTAGAAAACAACAGTTTTGATAACTGGGGGAGGGGAGGGTATAATAAGTTTTAGATAATATAAAATCAATATTGACCCTTAAAATGTATGTTGTTAATCCCTGAAGCAGAAAAAAGCAGATAGTTTTGTCCTCTGATAAATCAATAACTATTTACTATAATGTGCTGGTCACACAGGCTTAAATAAATTTAATAAACTTCCCAATGGTGGTTCATTTTATTTTTGATATTTGTAGTCGTGTTTTATAGCCTGCCCATCATATCGAGATTTCTCCGTCAAACTGCTTTCAGATCTCTGCATTTTCTCCATTAGCAATAGTATGTCCAGTCCGACTCTTGCCACGGATGCCAAATGTAAAGCCTTCCCCCATAATAATTTATGAGCTTTTTCCATGAAGTTTTATTTGTTCCAACTAAAGAGTTCACGTTCTCATCCATGCCTTTGGGGCATCGAGTGAAAAATCTTCAAACAGAAAGCAACTTGTGACTTGAATGATGTTTAAACAATGACAACATTATTATATTCCCTGAGCATAGCAGGGTTTCTGTTCCCAGATCGCATGCTCATTAATCAGACTCCAAACTTACATCTAAAACAATACAGCCGCATTATACGAAAATTCCTCCCTAACTGCGGACTTGGATGAAGCAGGATATAAAACTCCGGAGCCCGATTTATATTTTCCTATAATTAAAGGCCACTATGTGCCACTAACTTCAAAATCTGCAGATGGTTGTTTGATATTTTGCAAATGAGCTCATCTCACATATGGACAAAAATGCTATAGTGAATAGATGAGCTACAAAAGGGCCTCATTTAGATATTTGCTCTAATGCCAAATCATCAAACTCTTTACTGCCCACAAGACTCAGCCCAAAGTCAGAGTGGTAATATCTTCATGCTATTACGTTTCTATTGAGCTCAGTACTTTTGTTTATACTTTGCCAAAATTCAGGCAAACTGATATCTGTAATAGCTGTGCTTAAAAAGACTCAACGAGTCTCCGGAGAACCAAATGGCTCTTGACAGATAGTCCTGGCAGGTTCCCACGTGATAGCTTTAATAGATGTCACATTTTGGCTAAACAGTGGTTTTGCTAAGTTTTGTTTTTTTTCTTTTTATGTTTCAGAGAAAGAGATCTGGCACAGAGAGATGAGGCTTCATAATATTTTTCAGAGGAAGCCGCACTAAACGGAGTCACTTCGGGTGGAGATAACATGTGGGCCAGAGGATCAGGTGTAGGAAGGGAGGTTGGAACATGTAGGTTGAGAAGATAAAACAGACTCAAAAGAAACAGATAAAGAAGAAGGTACAGCAGATCTCAAGCCAAAGCAGGGAACCCCTCCAAACCAACTCAGAAGAATCTGCCACCTTCTGTAATTGATCATGAAAAAAAAAAGAAAGGCACGTGAGAATCCAAAGACCTCAGCGCTCTCAAGCCTGGGTTGTCAACACAAGGAGGATATTGACCAATTCCTGGCTCTGGATCTCATTAGCTGGCCAAGGTGTGTTTGAAGTGCTTTGGTCCAATTTCTCCGGGCCAGAGTATACTGGTTTAAATAGGCCTCAAAGATTACGTGAATTAAACTCTTTCTGTGATGATGATAGAGCAATGGAAGAAAAAGAAAATGATTCTATCTAGGTAAAAGATTTTAGTGCAGACATTGGGCTTTATATACAGGTCTGAATGAGACTATGCAATGCAACTCAATTCTGAGGGGAGGCCCCGGGGCTTCAGTGCATGCCGAATACACTTGCTCTCCTTCACTAATTCAAAATATCAAAGAACACTCAAATTCTGCCCTTTAAGGAGCCCAAGGGCTGCATATACATAACAGAGAAATTGGCGGATATAACATGTTCAGTTTTCTACTGTAGCTAAGTATATTACTGTATATGGCACTGGGTGCTTCACTGGTATAAAAAAAAATCCAACCATGAGAAGGCAGCTTCAGAGGCACTCAGAGAGATCTGGGTTGTCAAAACAACACCCCATTATTCTATCTTGCATTTTCCCATCAAGAATAGTACTTAGTGAAATGCAGAGTTGGGGCATGCCATAAATGCTTAAATGTCCATGCTTTCCTAATAAATCCTGGGACAGTTAGTCATACGATGTGACTTCATCTTTCATGTTTGGAGATGCTGACCTTAGGCATCTACATAGTTATTTCACCCACTGATATTAACTATGTATTACATCATGTGGAAATACATGCAGCTAATGAAATGTACCCAGCCAAATGAAAATGGTAACTTCAAAAAGAGTGACAGAACTCACTGCTCCACTTTTTCTTACAAATAAAATGCATAACATTCTCTCAGTGGTTTATTAAGAAAACAAGATTGTAATTGTGACGTTTCTTCTTCATAGCCACAAAACTACATCAGAATAGATATTCTGACATAATAGCCAAGTTATAAGCTTGATGTTGACTTTACAGCCAATTGGCTTATCCAGGGAAGAAGTTAAGTAGGTTGAACAGCCTTATGAGATTTATCGTCTCAAGAAATAAAACGTCAGAAAGAAGGTGACAGTCTCATAAGATTATTCAAAGTGGTCAACATTTTTATATTTGTATTTTATTTTGAAGAACATGAGTTATTAGATGAAAGCACTCATTGGTGAAGAAGCAAGTATGGATACAATCTAAAATGCTTAATTATGTTTTGACTATATTAAAAAATGCCCTTTTTACATGTGTTGGTTAGCACAGAAAAAATGCGTTGTGTGTGATACCATTCAATTGTGAGACTAATAGGTTCAGTATGTAACTCCTGATTTTTCTGGATAGCAATAACATGATAGATAACCGAGCTTGGCAGGTCTTTCATTGGGTTGGCTGAAACCATTGTTGACTTTGGCTGTTATTTACATTACCTCTAATTTCCCAAACACCTACCAGTTATTGAATTATGCAATGGTTTACTAAACACATGCAGCAAGATTCCCATGATGCATTCAGATACATGGACCGATGGCTGAGCATTTCCTACCTGTGTACTCAGGTGGGCAAAGGCATGTGTAGTTGTTAATCCCATCAACGCAAGTAGAATTATTTTCACAGTCATTATCTTCACAGTCATCAATATTGATTTCACAGTGTTCTCCTTCAAATCCATCAGCACAAATACACCTGAACACCAAAGGGGGGAAAAGTAAAAATAATAATAATAACAACTCTGCATTTAAAAAAAAACATGTGGTCTACATATTGAAAAATACTAAATACACTTTTCAATTACAGAACTTTTAACTACAAAAAATTGACTTTTAAATGACATGTTGTAAGCATTCATTCAAGGTAATATCCTGCAAATCAGAAACAATTCGAAAAAAATTAATGCTGGATGGAAATGGCCCTGTAAGTCAATAAATCCAATATATCTGCAGATCTATAACACAAGCAAAGTTTACTCTATTTTAATCTCAAGTTGTGCTCTAATAAAATAATCAATACATCTTTGCTCACAAGTGACGAGGAACTGGTTCTGATTTTTTAAAAAATGACAACACCTACTACCCTATGTATAATGTTCTTGATGTCTCAAAACAAAACCAAAAGGGAATTTGAAAAACAAATTTTGTCTTCCTTGCAATTATAAAATGTGAATGTTCTCTTTATGCCTCAACAAATGCAATTTTTTTCCATTGACATAAAACTCTGTACATTTCTTCTTGCTAGGTATCAGAATAATCTTTGAAAAGCCCTGATGAAAAAGAGACAGTTTCATAACAGAATGCAGAAATGAAGCCTATTTATTATAAAAAGTGATATTCCTAACAAGCTTTAGTAGTACATTAGCATTCTTATGCAACATTATTAGTGTCATCATAAGAACTCTATTTCATAATTCATGAAGTACATTTGAGGTAATTGTACTGTATGATTAAATAATTCCAGATTAAAAATGTTCACAGCATGGTTGTCTTCTTATATTTGGGGTTGGAAAAGAATCATTAATTTTCTGTTTCAGTGGGACCTACATCTTTTCATTACACACTGTCTTTAAAGCAATACACACAGCAACAAATGAATACATAACTTTCAGTAGGAGACTAGTTGGCTATTGATTAGCATAATATAGCCACTCCACTGTCTTGATCTAATCTAACTTGATTAATCATAATGTGTGCGTGTACATGTTTTACAATTTCTGGATTTTGTAGCTGCCTGAGCTGAAAATACTGAAACACCTCTATTTGTTTTTATGTTGCAATATCTTAGAGAGGGACTCACACATGTTCTTGTGAATTGATTCCTGGCATTCATTTTAAAATAACGTCCCCAGATTTGAAAAGAAGAATGTGTGTTTGCTTAGTTATTCTTGCTCCAATACCTCAGACACAGATCACAGACTAATGAATGACCTACCAGAATCCATCTTTGTCACCTTCTTTTAAGTGGCAAGTTCCTCCATGTTTACATGGGTTACTGATACATGCATGAATTGGGACATCGCAGTCCTGCCCCTGGAGAAGGAATGGCCAAGCAGAGTTGGGTGTAAGTAAAGTAGTTGTTAGCACAGTAAAATAAGGTAGTCGACAGCACACTAAAATGAGGCAGGCTTAGCAATGAGAGCGATGCTTTCAGATCATGGTTCCTATGACAGCTTTGACTCACCTTGAAACCATATGGACAGGTACAGCGATAAAAGTCAACTGGATCATTGTTACAGGTGCCATCATTTTTGCATGGATTTGATAAGCAAGGATTACATTTAGCTAAAATAGTCACATCCACAGGACCTAAAAAGTAATTGAAAAATATGAGAAACTGGTGCTTTCTATTTTTAGATCACTTAGGATTATTTTAATGCTTTAATGTAACAGTATATTTTGTATAAAAGTTATCGGTCACATATCTGTATATAAGTTTCTTCCATGACAAAAACAGAAATCAGCATCATCATATTATGTGGAAGAATGCAACAGGAGGCCTTTTCATTGAGGGATGGTGAGACTCCCCAACATCAGAGTGGGACTCTGGGTTTTGATTTAGGTGGTTAGTACCTGATGTTAATCATGCTAATGTTACAGGGTCAGTCCCTTCAACAGGCAACTAGCTTCAGTAGTTGAGCTCCATGGCCACTGCCTGTATCTTAATTTCAGCCAGCTGCCATGGAAAGACATGTCACCCATCCCAAAGAGGACTGTGTGTGTGCCTGTGTGTGCGTGTACATTGGGAGATGGGTGAGTGAGTTTTATGAATAAGTAGAAACTCATCAGTTAAAATATAAATTCATCAATTAAACATGAAATATTATGCACCTGCCCTGATAACATTAGTTCAGTAGTGTTATTTTCATACAGGAGATACAAAAAACAAAAAAGCAAAAACACCCTGTTTATGCACATGGAAATAAACCAAACACACGATCTCCTTCTGTATCATTCTCACCCAGAAGGACTTCCCAATGAAATGATCTCTACTTGCTATCCCATTTGTTGGAAAATATATATTTTTTAAAAAACTCACGATCCATAAAAAGTTTGGATTCAAAGCAGATTCAGTTGCAGCCCTTTTCCTTTGGTTGCACATATTTATACCATAAAAGGCTAACAGTGTAGAATCTGCACTGTCCTCACTTAAATTACGTTCCACCACCGAAACCGGTTTGGCTCAGTGGATAGAGCGTCGGCCTGTGGACTGAAAGGTCCCAGGTTCGATTCCGGTCAAGGGCGTGAACCTGGTTTTGGGGCACATCCCGAGTAGGAGATGTGCAGGAGGCAGCTAATCGATGTTTCTCTCTCATCGATATTTCTAACTCTCTATCTCTCTCCCTTCCTCTCTGTAAAAAATCAATAAAATATATTTAAAAATAAATTACGTTCCATCGATGCTGCTTTGCACTGGTGGTGAGACCTCACTATATGGTCTCTTGGCAACTGTCAGATGAGGACATTCTTTCAAGGTGACATCTTTATATATAAAACTAGAGGCCTGATGCATGAAATTCGTGCAAGAGGCTCAGCCCTTGCAGCCCTGGCTCCATCCGGAAGCTCATCTGGATGGTTGTTCTGCTGTTTGGTCTAATTAGCATATTAGCTCTTTATTATATAGGATACAAATATTTTAATCATGTCTCGCTATCACTGGTCTCTCTAAAAGACTTTATCCTCATTGAAACAACAGCAACAATTTCAATCACATGTTTGATCACATGTCCTTTTTAGCAATGTTATTTGAGTGGATTGTACAGCATGCTCCCCTTTACTGTCACTGCTCTAACCTTCCAAGGGACATCTCCCCAAACAGTTGTATGGCTTCTGCTCATATAAAGTACCTTTCATCATATTTCTCTACCAATCAGAGTTCATGTTTGTGAGTTTTTAGTCTACCAACAAAAACTCATGTATGAAAGAGAATATGGGCATGAAAACTGCATATCTTTTTTTTCTTTAAATATATCTTTATTTATTCCAGGGAGAGGGAGAGAAACATCAATGATGAGAGAGAATCATTGATTGGCTGCTTCCTGCACACCCCCTACTAGGGATTGAACCTGCAACCTGGGCATGTGCCCTGACTTGGGATCGAACCATGACTTCCTGGTTCATGGGTCCATACTCAACCACTGAGTCACACCAGGCAGGCAAAACTTCATATCTTAATAGCATTCTCTAACCCTAGGAAGTGCCAGCCAAGCACGTATAATGTTTTTGAAGTGAAATAAAAAACAGAATAGTTCTCTGTATTAGTCAACTTTTCTATTAATAAGAAGCTTGAAATATAGAGATTCCTCTTCCTATTTAACCATTTGAAATGCATGACAGATCTGGGGATGGTGGTGTTAACAGGAAGGGTTATTGTTCACTTCTAGTGACACCTCAGCCATTAAGGGAGGCCTTGCCAATGGCCCCTTCACTTTTTCGTGGAAACCAGTATAACTAATGCAGCCTCTATATCAAATTGCAGTTGGGAAATTTCTGGGATTAACACTGAAGTGATCTTTATAGAAATTCAATTTCTCACCCCTCCCAACTTATTTATTAATTAAGGACAAAACTTTAGCTAGTCAGCATATTGCAGAAATGAATGGTGGCAGTTATTTAAAGCAGAAAGTTAAATTAATGAAATACTCCACAATAAATGACTTTGTATTTGCTAAAGTTATCACACTTAGAATCAGCGATAGGAAAGGAAATAGCTAACTGGTAATGGATTCCTTAGCTAGGCCAGAAGGAAAAAGAATCTAATCTTGAACAAAGGCATTGGATAAAGCAGCTAAGACTGCATCCGGCAAAACGGCATGTCAGCAAATGCTAGGACTGGACATGTTCATCTGGCCACTTCCCAAGACCTTGAGAAAAATTGTCTTTTTGTCTATTTCTGTGCTTTCAACCTTGTAAGGCTGTGGTTGAATAGAGGAGTTCAGGGTTGACAGTTTCTAAGTTTATTTTATGGAATGTGACATTCTTCAAAAATTATGTTTGATTATTTAAATGAGACACTAAAGGGAGGAAAAACTGGATACGTGGATACAGTTTGAAGAATTCAATAGAGTATGCAGGTGACAAAATTGCCAGGCTGACATAGTCCCTGTCGAGTTTAACACAAAGTCAATATTCATTTAATAAATACCCACTGAACAGTATCATATTAATATGTACAATATAAGTTCACTGCATTGGTTTCTGATATAGCTAATCCTGCTTAATTATTTTCTATATGGAAATTCTTACTGGAATACAAAGGGAGATCATTGTCCCCTTGTATATGTTCAGTTTAGCTAAAGGAATAAAAATAATCAGCTTTACCACATACGCAGGCCTCTTCTAACACTTTCTTAAACCCATGAACTGTTTTGGTGACATCAAGGTGTGGAAAATAGCAAAACACTGAGTTCTCACTCCCTCAGGTTGGAAAGTTGCTACTATTTGCTTCTCCTTTTAAAAATACTTCATTGAAAGTCAGCTTTTAATGATAATTTCTTATTTCTAGTACTCAAGTCTGAGTAAAGGGTAATTCAAAAGCTGTTTGTAACTTATATAAATTCCAAATAGCAGCATCCTCTGATATGCCCAAATACTTTAACTTCCTTTCTACTTTATTTAGACTGGAATTCCACCTAACTAAACATCCTTCTTATACTGTGACTTATACATTTACATGGTTTATCTAAACCTTATTTCTCTGTTCTAATCCCTTGGAACTACAGTTGACCCTTGAATGATTCAGGGGTCAGGGGAACTGAACCCAAAGCAGCTGAACATCTGCATATAACTCTTGATTCCCCCAAAAGGTGTTTCTCAGTAACCATGGGGATTGTTCCAGAACCTCCAGTGGATGTCAAAATGCTCAGGTACTCAAGTCCCCTATATAAAATATGCTCAGGTCAGTGAGCACAGTCTACCCTCAGACTCCCAATTGCAGACAGAAAGCACTACAGGTATTAACTGAAAAACACACACAACAACAACAACAAACACACAAAACAAAGAAACAAACAAAACAAAACAAAAGCCTCATGTATAAGTGGACCCATGCAGCTCAAACTCATGTTGTTCAAGGGGCAACTATGCCTTATATCCGGTTTTCTCCTCTCATTTTCCTACTCATGTTTTGCTTCTTTTATAAGACCATCTTTTATCTCCTGTTTGTCTTCAATTGATGATTCATTTTCTGCCCAGGACACTTTCTCTGAGATCCTCTCCTGTAAAGCTCTTATTCAAGGGAAATGACATCTTTAATCTGCTTTCCTAATAAGATGGTATCAAAGTTAAAGGAAGATGCTAAAAAAAGAGTCATAATGAAATAGTGAAGAATTTGCACAGCTCTCTAGAAACAAACCAACACTTGCAGGATTTTACAAATTTGATTAGTCTCAGGTGAAAAGAAGGTGCCCAAGGAACAGGAAGTAGAAAAGCCTTTTAGCATAATGCATAGTAACGGACAGAAAATAGGAAGTCTATCAACCCAAGTTAGTAATCTAAATTTGTCTCTTAAACATGTAAAGTTAGGAGAATGTTGGCAGCCATTTCAATGGGTGGTTTTCAGCATTAAATGAGATGCTAATGAAAGTTTGAGTACACACTACAGTGAGTGACAGCTAGCACAGAAGCCTCAGTGAGTTCTGACTCTCTTCCCTAGACTTCCAAATAATTGATGATGGGGGGAACATGTGTGGTTTACTGAAAAGGAGACACACAGTATTCCTCTGCTTGTTTACCAAAATTTAACACAGACACTGGAAAATTAGAGCTTGCCATTCATTCATTCATCACAAGTTCACTGAGTACCTTTTATCTATGTCAGGAGCTGCTCAAATTTGGACAAACTGTAAGGGCTATTATTATTAAAACCCTGGGGGAATGGAAGTGGGTGCCAAGAAATAATTATCCATTGAGCAACAACACTCGGAGTTAATAATTTTACATTTTTAAGACTGCAAGTTTGATTTGTAAATTCGGTATGGACAACCACCAGAAATAACAGTACAACACAGAAAAACGAGAGGTTCTCTTTAAGGAATGACAGTTTGCTGCGATATAACTTGGCAATTTTCATTCTTTCCTCTTTCCCAAAGTAAACTGGTTACAAGAATTGTTAAACCCTAACTGGTTTGGCTCAGTGGATAGAGCAGCGGTTCTCAACCTGTGGGTCGCGACCCCTTTGGCAGTCGAACGACCCTTTCACAGGGGTCACCTAAGACCATCCTGCATATCAGATATTTACATTACGATTCATAACAATAACAACATTACAGTTATGAAGTAGCAATGAAAATAATTTTATGGTTGGGTCA